GAGAGTGATTCTGAAGTGTCATTTTAGTGGCATGGGTTATGTTGGGGCTTTTGGGGGAGGAAGGGTGGGTGACATCAGGGAGTGAACGCTGGATGGTGACGTTGTTGGGGTGTTATATTGGGGACCTAACGGCCCCTGACTGAAGAATGATCCTGGAATTGAATAAGGTATTTTGGCAGTTTTAAGGGAGTTGATATTTGTGGCTGTGGCTGCAAATGTTTTGTAGAGAGAGCTGTCCTTGGTATTTGGTCTTGTTCTTGCGAAGACTTGTTTTGCAAGCTGATGTTCCAGCTGGGCTCTTGTATGGGAACTGCTGAGTCATGGCCTGAACCTCTGATTGATCACCTGAGGCGAGCCATGAGGCAGCCAGAGGAGCACAGGTGAAGGCAATTCTTGTGAAGACTTGTTTTGCAAGCTGATGTTCCAGCTGGGCTCTTGTATGGGAACTGCTGAGTCATGGCCTGAACCTCTGATTGATCACCTGAGGCGAGCCATGAGGCAGCCAGAGGAGCACAGGTGAAGGCAATTCTTGCGAAGACTTGTTTTGCAAGCTGATGTTCCAGCTGGGCTCTTGTATGGGAACTGCTGAGTCATGGCCTGAACCTCTGATTGATCACCTGAGGCGAGCCATGAGGCAGCCAGAGGAGCACAGGTGAAGGCAATTCAATTCACCTGTGCTGCCAGAAGGGGGTGGAGCCTGGCTGCCCCCTCCTAGAGCTATTTAAGAGCTGGCTGCCAGGAGGGAAGGATCTTTGCTGGAGATCTGCTCTGCTGGAGTTTTGTGAGTGAGCCCAGGATAGGGGTAAGCCTTCTATTTATTCTCTTTTGTTGTCATAGTCTGCTTTGCCTAACTGTCTTGTTCATTTTGTGATTATAGCATCTTAAAATTCTTTGACTGTAGAACTCTGTATCACGCACTGGCCATATGGGTACAGCATGCAAGTGGAACAAACCCTACAGACCCTGGGGAGAATGAAAGTGGGAGAAAGAGTGGAAGTGTGCTTTGAAGCAGGGGATGCCCTGCTAGTGATGCTGGTCAAATCCACTGCTGGCATGTTCCTTCTCTCTCCTTTTCGGTGGCTTGCCATCTCTCAAGGGTCAGATAGTAATAGCATACTTGCTTAGGGAGATTCTGCTTCCCACTTAATGGAATCATCTAAAATTTTAGAGTGACACTGGTTATGTTGGAGTGATGTTGGGGTATCAATAGGATAGATGTCAGGGAGTAGCACGATAGGGTGACATCATTGGGAGTGATGTTGGAGTACCACAAGGATTTAACATGAATAACTGATCCTGGGGTGAGAGCGTTGGGGTGACACTGGGGAATGACAATGTTGGAGTGATGCTGAGGGTGGATATTGTGGTGACGGTGAGGGGTGACATCAGGAAGTGACTCCAGGGTGACATTGTTGGGTTGGCACTGGTGGGTGATGTTGGGATGAAAGGGGGTGATGTGAAGGAGTAATGCTGGGGGATTGATGCTGGAGCATCCCTGGGGGGTGACATCAGGGAGTGTTGGTGCTGACATTTGGAATGAAATAATGAGGTTTTGGGAACTCAGTTTGGGGTGAATTAGCAAGGACGTGAACCTGGAGTTTGCTGTGAAATATTGATGGTTTGGGTCTGGAGTATGACGTGAAATGGGCTTTGGAGCTTATTTGGATGGCAGTTGCTCTTTACAGTTGTCACGGAGTTGACTAGATCAATCTATGTCCGTGACAGGGGCGACAGGCCTCTGCCCTCCCCCCCCACCCCAGTCCCACAAAAAATGGGAAGGAAGGAAGGGAGGAAAAAAAAAGCAGCGGCAACAATCTATGGAGGAAAACCTATTTTACTATAATATTGGAATACGAGATAACACAGTATATACAATTTAATTGAAATTGAGATTAATAAATCAGACAAGATGAGAGAGAGAGTTCCTGGGACCGATTCAAACCTGAAAAGCTTGTAACGGCTAGGAAAGCACCTCCAGCACCCACTGCCAGGCAGCAAGAGAGCGCCCCCCCCCACCTGGAAGGGCCAGATCCCGTGACTTCTGTAATGTACAGGGATAGGTACCTGGGATTGGGCATTAACACTTTAATACCCCGTACACGACATGATGTTTTGATGTGGAATACTGAAACCCAAAATAAAAACAAACAAACAGAAAACATAGAACCATGACAACAGTTTCCTTGCAGGAAGAGGATAAAGAAAAGTCTGCTTTCACACAGGAGAGGATATGATATACCTTTAGCTGACTCCCACAGGGGTGTACACATTCTCCCACTATTGCTCAAGCCACCTCAGTGAACTTTGACAGAGTTTCACTGCCTTAGGATGTGTATCCATGTGTAGATGATATTTAATTGCAAGCTCATACTCCGGAAAGGTGGGGGAAGTGGCAGCAGATGACTGAGAATTTGAGATACCACCTGCAAACTGTCAGGGACTAAGTAAAGGAGTGAAACTTTAACGCAGCAAAGGCCAGCAAAATTGTGCAGACTTGACTGAACCAAAGCGGAGATATGGGAAACCAGTGTGAACAGAAGCAAAGCTGTGCAAAATCTTACAAAACCACGTGAACTTCATGGAATCTCAGTGAAGACCAGTGATCCTGCAAAGTCTTCAGTGAACCAGGGTGGACTTCTGCAAAGCCCAGTGAAGATCCACAAGCCTGTACAAAAATACTGTGAATCCGCATGGACAGTACAAGGAACCCAAGTGAAAACCCACAACATCGTGCGTCCTTTGGTTTATTCAGGTTTGTTATCTGGCAATGCAGCCCAGCTGGATAAGGCTCTTGTAGACTGGTAGTATTTTCTTCAGGAACACTGAAATCTGAATCAGTGGGACATCGCTTATGATCTATTATCCAACTCTTATCTTCTCCTCCCCTGGTTTCTCATTGCCTGAGCACTTCAGGTTCACAGAAGATGAAAATGAAAAGAAAAAAGGAAAAGGAAAATGGAAAAAAAAAAAAAAAAAAAAAAAAGGAAAACGGAAACAAAAAAAGGGAATAAAAATGAAAAAAAGGAAAAGGAAAGGAGAAAAGAAAGATGTAGAAAAAGAAAGAAAAAGAAATAGCTAGAATTATTAAAAGGAACATTATTAGAAATAGAAAAAAGAATTTGAAATACAATGAGGACAGGAAAAAGGTGAGGAAAAGACAAAATAATTGGAATTGGGAAAATAAATAGAAAACGAATTGGAAATAGAAGAATTGGAAAAGGCAGAGGAAAAAGAACTGGAATTAGAAAAAGAATAACAAAAATAAAAAGGAAAAAGAAAACCAATTAGGGAAAAAAATATTAGAAAAGGAAAAAAATCAAAAGAATATGACAAAGAATTAGAAAAAGAATTAGGAAATAAGACAAAAAGAGTAAGAAACAGAAAAACAAGAAAAGGGGAGAAGAAAAAGGCGAAGAAAATATTATAAAAATAATTCGAAATAGAAAAGAAAGAAAATAATTAGAATTAGAAAATGAAAGAGAAAAACAATTAGAAAAAGAAAAAACGAAGACAAATTAGGATTAGAATGAGAATTGGAAAAAGAAAAAGATAAGGAACTGAAAAAAATGGGAAATGAGAAAGAATTAGAAAAAAATATTAGAAAAGGAATTGGAAAAGGAACTAGAAAGACAAAAAAAAGTGAAAAAATAAAGGAAAATGAAAAAGTGAGAAAAAAAGTCTAGAAAAAGAATTAGAAATAGAACAATGAAAAATAATAAGAAAAAAGAGAATAATTAGAAAAAATAGAAGAAGAATTAGAAAAATAATTAGAGAGAGGAAAAACAAGAATATGGAAAAGAAGATGAAAAGAAAAGGAATTGGAAAAAGAAAAGGAATTGTATAAAAAGGAATTGAGAAAAGAAAAAATGGAAAAAAATAGATGAAAAATTGGAAAGAGAACTGGAAATGGAAACAGACCTGGAAAAAGAATTGGAAAATGAAAAAGAAGAGAAAGGAAACAAAAGCACTAGAGCAAGAGAATGGATATGAAAAGGAATTAGAAAAGAAAAACCAATGGATAAAGAAAAAGGAGAAGAATTAGAACGATAATTGGAAAAGGAAAAAACTGCAAAAAGAAAAACCTGGAAACAGAAAAAGAGGTGGAAAAAGACTGAGAAAAATAAAATGAATTAGAAAAAGGAAAAATATAAAGAAAAAATAGAAAGATATCAAGTTTTACAATGAAAAGTAGAAAAATATTTAGAATCTGAAAAAAAAAAGAAACAATCAAAAAGAACAGAAAAAAATAGAAAATGAATTAGAAAATTAATTTAAAAAAATTAGAAAAAATTGGAAAATGTAAAAGAAAAAACTGAAACAGAAAAATGAAAAGGACATGGAACAGGGAAAAGATGTTCAACAGGGAAAAGAAAAAGTACTACAATTAGAAAAAGAGTTGGAGTTAGAAAAAAATTGAAATAGAAAAAAGAAAGACTTAGACTGGGAAAAGGACCACAAAAAAGGCTTGGAAAAAGAATTAGAATTAGAAAAAGAAAAACAAGGAGCAGAAAAAGAATTAGAAAAAGAATTGGAGAAATCATTAGAAAAGGAAAAAGAAAATTAGAAAACAAAAGTATTAGAAAGACCAAAAAGTATATATATTTTTTTAAAAAAAAATGAAGAAGAATTAAAATTAGAATGAGAAATGGAAAAAGGAAACAAAAAGGAATTGGAAAAAGAAAAAAATAGAAAAAGAATTAGACAAATAGTTCGAATTAGACAAAGAATTAGGAAAAAAAAAATAGAAAATGATCCAGAAAGAGAACACAAGAACTACAACTTGAAAAAGAATTGGGATTCAAAAAAGAAAAAAAATGAAATAGAAAAAGGAAAAAGACTTGCAATGAAAAGAAAGACTTGCAACAGGAAAAAGAAATAGGAAAAGAATTAGGAAAAAAAATTAGAAAAACAAAGCAGATTAGTGTCTTGCTCCAATTTATAGGAGGGAGAGGAGGTTCTTTTATTATCTATATACCCAGCGTGAGATTAAGAAACAATGGTTCAAATGTTGGTCCGACCAATTTATTACAAATCGTAATTAGGGAAATGGGGAAGGGGAGGACGGATGCTATTATGAATTAGGGTAATGGGGAAGGGAAGGAGGGCGATAGGAAAGATAGGAAAGAAGAAGCAAGGAGTCTTTACAGGAAGTAAGAGGGAGACAGTCACCACCATGGATCCAGCGTGGTTTGTAATTCAGTCTTTGATCTTCAGTAGTGGTGGGTCGTCAGGCATTGTTCTGTTGACGATGAGGAGAATGATGAGAACGACGGCCATGACCATGGCGATGACGGCCCCTTTTCAATAGTTTCAAAGTGGTCGAGTCAGCTGTCTTTGGAGTGACAGCTCAAATCCAATGTGGTTGAGTCAGCTCTCCTTGGAGCGGCAGCTTCTGGCTCTGGGATCTCAGCAGAAACTCCTCTGTTCCCATCTTCTGGGCCTTGCCAGCAGACAAGAGGGAGCAGGGATGCCCATCTGCATCTTGTTTTTCACAGAACACGATGGTATCATTCCCCAGTTTTCCCATACCAAGCTGGAGCTGTTTAGTCACAGGCCAGATCTTCTGCCAGTGAACATTCCTGAGCACTCTATTCTGGAGGCAAGCAGCTCTGGAGGAAGGGGCTCTCAAATGTTCCCAAAGTGATGTCGATTGTCACACGGTTAGCACCCATCACTTGCCTCCTTAACAAATCATTGAGAGTCTTATCACAAGAAAAACCTCAGGAAGCAAGCTTTGAGCCAAAAAACAAAGGATTCTCACAATTAGAAACAGGAAAGAAGAAACAGATTTAGAAAGAGAGAAAGATTTAGAAAAGGGAATGGAAAAATAATTAATAAAGGAAAAAGAATTGGAATGAGAATTGGAATATGTTGAAGAAAATAAAAAACGGAAAGGAATATGACTAAGAAAAGGAACATGAAAAAGAAAAACAATTGGAAACAGAATTATCAAAAGAAAAAGAAAGAATTAGAAAGAAATAGAAAAAATTCAAAACAAAAAAGAATTTGAAAAAGTCTTAAGAAAACAAATTAGAAGGAGAAAGAAAAGGAAATAAAAGAACAAGGAGAGAAAAGAAAAAGGTAAAAAGAAAAAAATGAAGCAGAAAACTATTCGGAAAAGTAATTGGAAAAGGAATTGGAAAAAAGAAAAGAAGTAGAATTAGAAAGTGGATTAGGAAATGAAAATAAATTATAAAAAAGGGGGAAAAAATCAAAGGGAACTGGAAAAGGAGAAAGACAAGAAGTTAACTCTGGATACCCCAAGTTTTACATGGCACGCACTAGAAGCCTGTTTTGCAACCTACCTCTTCTTTTTGCATCTCACTTGGTCAAAGCAGAGCAGTCAGCATTTGGGCTCGCTGTAGCTCCAACTAGGCGTAGATTGGCAACATGAAACACAAGAAAAATGAGAAACATTGCATAATGTCAAGAAATGATATTGAACCTAAAAAGAACAAACCCATGTTTGGTGGGAGCGACAGAAGGCACAGACATCACAGCAGTACTTGGGAGCCCTAAAGATGGGGGAAAAGAAAGAATACCAGGTGAAAGCCACGTGAGTGCAAGAGACAGAATCACAGAATCACAGAATCACAGAATCACCTGGGTTGGAAGGGACCTCAAGGATCATGTAGTTCCAACCCCCCTGCCTAGCAGGGCCACCAAACATCCACATTCAGATCAGGTTGCCCAGGACCCCGTCCAACCTGGCCTTGAACACGTCCAAGGACGGGGCATCCACAACCTCCCTGGGCAGCCCGTTCCAGGGCCTAACCACTCTCCTTGTGAAGAACTTCCCCCTAACATCCAACCTAAATCTTTCCTCCTTCAACTTTGATCCATTTCCCCTAGTCCTGCTGTTGTCAGCCCTTCTGAAGAGTTTACTCCCCTCCTGGGTGTAGGTTCCCTTCAGGTATTGATAGGCTGCAATGAGGTCGCCCCGCAGCCTTCTCTTCTCCAGGCTGACTGAGACAACTGATGCCGAGCCCAAAGAACAACTGCAGGTGTGGGAGCAACTTCAGAGATCACATGCTGCTCCATGACAGCTCGTGCAGTGGGAGAACGAGGAACGCCTGAATCCAGGTCTGTGATCTGTTTTGGTAGCACGTGGGGTCACTTCTGGAGACTGCAGGACTATGGCATGACACGCAGCCCACTGGCAGGAAGAGGAGAGCATCAAGATCTGCTAGCAAGAAAGAAGAAATCCCTGAGTCTTTTTTCTCCACAAGCATTTGTGATTCTTTCTCCTCTGCAGGGAAAAAAAATAAACAAAAAAACTCCATTGTGATTCAGTCCCAGCACAATGATTAAGTGTATGGTATGTACCGAAGCATTGTGTATTAGGACAAAAGCTGCGGGAGAGTTAGTGACAGGATCATAAGTAAAACTAACTAAATGCCCAGTACTGCCAATATGGGCATGGGACCGTGACCAGCCAGTGACTGTGTTAAGGTCATCATAAGCAATTACAAAAATTAATCTGAAGAAGATTCCTGTCCAAAACAGTAACACCAATGATACCACGGGGATCCCAGAGAAAGGAGCAGAGTGAGAAGGGAACATGTGAGCTACAACAACCGTATCAGCATTCGTTAGCATCTGGAAAACAAGAGAGAACATCCTGGTTCCAAAGGAGCCAAGGTTAGAAGAAGCAAAACTGGAAAAGAAAACAAAACAGAAATAAGACTTCCTGGTCCTAAATGAACCAAAGTTAGAAGGGAGGTGAAATCCAGACGGTTAATTTTGTACAGTTACTCCTGATCATATTGAGGCTTCCACAAGTATTTGTGAAGAGTCTCCCTGAGGGTTAAAGGGACAGGACCACGGTGGGGCAAATCAATCAACAGCAGTTGTCCTGGGGAGTAATCATCCCAATAAGCAGCGCTTGGAGTAAGGGACCACTGGCAGTGGTTGCCCGTGGTGAAAAATATTCCAGGTCCTCAATAACCCTCTGATTCCTTTTCAGTCAGCAAGATCTGACCTCCCTCTGTTAATGGCACTTTCCACACATACTGATTTCCTAAGGGTGTCACCAAAATCCTTCCTTACTTTGGCCGGCTCCGTAGCAAACAGGGAACCTCGTCAGTATGAACATCAGAATACCCACTGCCAGTCTCTTCCCATGCACGCCCAGTTTCTATCTAAAGGCAGAGAAGGATCACAGGTTTCCCAACTTGTCTTTTTGGGCTCTCACATCCTCAAGATTTTCTCCTGGAGGAAAGTCACTACTTGGGGATCTAGCATCTATCTCCCTGTCATTTACCAACTGTTCTCTAAGGGCTTGCTGAGGGAGGCCTTTTGAATGTTCTTCTTTTTCTGTCCCCTAAGATCTTCTACTTGGTACTGCAGGTATGTCACCAATTCCTGCAAGGACTTTATAATTTGGGTTTCTACCATGTGCTGTTCATTGCGGATCTCTATGGCAGCACTAAGAGCAGCTCCTGGAACTGCACAAATGATTGATATTCCCTTTTCCTCCCCCATACAAATTTGATTATGGAGGGAATTTAATATGACCCATGACTCCCTCTAAGTTGGACCAATTATTCCACGCCCATTTCATCTCCACGGGGGAGAGTTTGGCACTATGCTTTTTTAAGAGATTGAGGAGCAGATTCCTGCTCTTTTTTTTTTTTTTTTGTAACCGTCATGCCTCAAAATGTGGAGCAATCTCTTCATGGAAGGGTAGGGGGGGAACACGTATTGTCAACAACTTGCTCCTTACACTCCCAAAGTGTACACGCACACTCTCTTCTACCAGTAAGGAAGTTGCTGATACCACCTGGACACAGCCACACGTTCAGGCCAACCCTGAGATACAGGGTCTAATACCTTGAACAACTATGAATAGGTTTTCTTTTGTCTCCCTATTCTTGTGTTAGAATGCCTAAAACAGCTCTTTCACTGACAGTTATCAAAAGGTGAAATGGTTCCTTTAAGGCAGGCAGTTCTAACACAGGTGCTGTGATTAAGTCCTGTTTCAATACTTCTACTAATTCTTTTCCCTCTTTTGTCCATTTTAATATGTTGCGTTCTCCCTGTGATAGTTGGAGGTACAATCTTTGTTTCTTGTACATATTCTTCTATTCACAAAATACAGAATGCCATCAAACCTAGAAACTTTTGCCGCTCCCTCTTTGTCCTGGGCAAATGAAGCTGCACAGTGCCCTGAATTCCTTCAGAACTCTCTATTTCCCTTCAGAAATCACATGCCCAAGGTATCTGACTTCTTTTTCCACATACTACAGTTCAAACAGCCCTAGCCCTTATTCCCAAGAAATTCGGAGTTTTACTTAGTCTCTTACTTTAGACTCCTCTTTTCCACAAATCAGAAAATCATCTACATACTGAAACAGCTTCACCTCCTCTTCAACCTGAAACTTTTCCAAAACTTTCTCCAGCACTTAATTAGTTAAAACAAAAATAAAATATAAAATATATAATGTATGTAAAATAATACATAATAATACAATATATAATATTTATAATAATATAATACATAAAATATAATAAAAATAAATTAGGCGATTCTATGTACCCTTGGGGTAAAGCAATCCACCTATCTTGCTATTTTTGTTGCATTTTTGGATCCTCTCGTACAACGGCAAAAAGATCTCGACTCTCTGAGTCTAAAATGCAGGTCCCGAAAGCATCTTTGAGGTCTGTTACACTGAGCCATTTGTGTCTGTGTGGGATTTGACTCATTAAAGTATAGGGGTTAGGAAGCAGGGGGGGTCACTTGAGAACTATGTCATTAATTTTGCTTGGATCTTGTATCAGTCGATAGGTGCCATCTGCCTTCTGTAATGGCAAAACTGGAGTGTTATAGGGTGACACAGAGTCCCAGAAGACCATCTTAACCAATGTTTGTATTACAGCCTTCAGACCCATTATCCTTTCTAAAGGCATGGGGGGATAACTGTCCCTGTTTTGCAGCTTCACTCCCTCCTTGGACAGTTATTGTTAAGGAAGTAATTCCGAGTCCACCCAGTTTCCTTCCCCTGCTCGCACCTTTGGATTTATTTCTTTTTCATTAGCAGTTATTAATAGATTCATTGACACCTTTATACCTGTTTCACAAGTTTTCAACTGCAATCCTAGAGCTGTTCAGCAGCTTTCTTTGTGAAAGGCAAATTATCCTGTGCTACATACAGAACTACTGGAAACTTCCACTGCAAAAACACAACCTACCTCTCAAAAGGGGGAGAGCGGTGCAGATGGTATGCAGCAGATATGCACAGCGTGCCTTTCACTTGCTTTTCCTCTCTCCATCTTCCGTTAGCAAAAAGCCTCTCCAACCTTCCCCTGCTAAAAAACCACTTAGGTCAAAAAGAACTGTCAAGCTTGCTTTTTAAATTACCTTACTTATACAACCTGATGCTTTAAAGCAGAAGCTCTCCCACCAGTGAGTTACCTTAGACAAGCTCAACTTTTGAGAGAAAAGTCATTCCTCTGCCTCTGCAGACTTTGCGCATGTTTCCAGGGGCAGCAGTCAGCCCAGTTCTCGGCACAGCTTTACCAGCCACAGAAATCCAGCTGATGCCCGCCATGCTTTTCTCTCTTCTGAAACACCAAACACCATACTGCTGCAAGAAGCAAGGATTAAAATCACAGAATCACAGAACTGGGCTCGGAAGGACCTCCAGGGATCACCGAGTCCAACCCCCCTGCAAAACGGGCTCCTACAGCAGGCTGCGCAGGTGGGTGTCCGGGCGGTTCTCGAATATCTCCAGACAAGGAGAAGCCACAGCCTCCCTGGGCAGCCTGTTCCAGAGCTGCGCCACTCTCACTGTGAAGAACTCCCTTCTCATCCATGGGCGGAACTTCCTGTGCTCCACTTTATGGCCATCTCCCCTTGCTTGGGGCCGCGCAGGGCTCCTCTCCCTGTCCCAGGACTGCTCTCCCACAAATCTCTGGCGGAGCTGCCCTCAGCACTCGCTCCTGTTGTGCTGCAGCTTCCATCTCGCTGCTGCCCGGACAGCAACAGCCCTGCCTCTCCTCCAACAGCCGGCCCCCAACGACCGCTCCCGTGCACGGCGGCTCAGCCAATCGCAGCCGGCGGAGCTACTGCGAATCAAGGAGACCCTGGGGGAGGAAGCAGCGCTGCCGCTAACCAATGAGAGGCTGGCGGGGATGGGACAGCAGTGCCGCCGACCAATGAGAGGCTGCCAGGGGCGGGACAGCCCTACCACTGACCAATGAGAGGCTCGTGGGGGGCCGGACAGCGCTGACGCTGACCAATGAGAGGCTGCCAGGGGCGGGACAGCGCTGACGCTGAGCAATGAGACGCCGGGTCTGAGTGAGCTCGTCCTGCCGCAGCATGATGATGACAGGGTTGCAGATGATCTGCACAGGCAGCTCACAGGTTGGGAGCCAGAGGAGAGAGGTGTTAGGGAGCAGCCAAGGCATCACAAGGCATCCGAAAGCCCTGAAAGGCATCACAAAGCCACCGCCAGGAAGCATGGGGTTATCACGAGCAGCATCCAGGATGCTAGAGATTATTTGCTACCATACCAAATGGGAGCTGCAGACACCCCAAAGCCAGACAAAACGGGCACTAACCCAGAGCTCTGCTTCGTGCACCCCACAGCCTCAGCGTTGCAAGCTGAGGTGCCTCATTGTTTGTTGCATTCATCCCAGTCCCTGGGAACGAAGACTCCACAGGCAGTCAAGGCGTTGAGTGAGCACAAGCGTGCTTTTATTATTAAAGGAAAAGACAGGAGGGCGTGAGAGGTCCAGGTAAAGATGGGAATCGTCCTCTCTTGGATGGAAAGGTCACGGAGAGAGCGGCTCAGAGCTCTCAGAGATGCTGCACGGTGCCTGGGACTGGAGGCCTGATTCTAAGTCCCCCTCCAAGAGGCACGGCTTCTCCTCGCTGTTGCTGACCTGCTCCTGCACAGAGGTGCTGCTGTCAGGGCACTCAGGCTGTGCTTGGGCTGGGCTGCACTGCAGAGGCACTGGGTCACAGTCCAGGCTGGTGCCTGTGGTGCGTGACAGGCTCAGGTCAGCATCTTCAGCAGAGCTGGGAGAAACGAGGGCTTGGACTTGGATGAGCTCCTTGTGTCCATCACTGTTGTTATGCGGCAGGCTGTCAGCTGAACCGCAGCCATTTGTGCTTCCCAAGAGCTCTCCATTGGTGGAAGCACACAGCCCAGCATCGCTACTTGCTCTGGGACATCTGGGTTGACAAGAGCTCGAATCACCTAGAAAAGAATGAACAGGGGTTGGTGTCCAACTCTCACAAGCTGAATTACAAACGTGGTTCTTGATCAGGGGAGAACTGAAGGTGTCAGGTATGGGTTGGATAGCTAGAAGGAGATACAAGCCCACTGCCAGCAAGAATTCTACGTTGCTGAGAAGCAGGGTGTTGAAAGCAGGATTTGCACCCTTACCTGCCAGGACTACAATGTCTGTCTCTGAGGGCTCCCTGGGACGGCGCTGCGGTTGGCGTTTGGCCACGGAGGATGGTTTTCCCAGGCTGAAGCAGGAACACCAACAGCCAGATGGTGATTCCTTCATCCTGCTGGGTGGACTTGGTCTGGAGAGAGGAAACAGGGAATGGTGTGAGTTGTGCATGGAACTCCAAAAGCATCTCTGACTCTGACACTGACAGCTCATCGGCCCCATCTCACTGCCATGTCTAGTTTCTCGTGCCAGCAGGTCTGAACAACAGCTCTGCTTCCAGGAGAATCGGAATTGGATTCAAGCACGTGGCCCTGAAGTCCGGAAAACCCCAACGTTTCCAGGTACAGCCAGCACAGGCCAGGACAGACGTCAGCGTGGCTTTATGCATCTCGTGACTGCCTGCCCAGCAAGGAGGGAATGCCAGCCTTGTGTGGCTAAACTCAGCCCGGCGGGCAACTGAATGTGAGTTCTGTCTCACAGTGCAAAGGGAGTGGAGATTCACTGCAACACTTCAGGCACCATCAGTTTAACTGAGTTTCAGCAAGCTTTGGCACTAGAAATAATGGGGGGGGGGGGGGGGGAAAGCACGAAAAGAAACCACAAAAACCCACCCAAACAATGATGATAAGGTACTGGAAAAGGAAGTCCTCTTTACCTTTCAGATAGAAAGTCAATGACTGTGTGGAATTTGCCCCGTACAGCTTTGGGGCCTTCTTCCACCTCTATGTCACTGCTCTCTGTCACAACGACAGGAGAGCTGCTGTGGCCTCGCCTCCGTGCCTGCGCCTCCTCCAGGCTGAGCAGCTCTGTGGCAGAAGAGGCCCGCACAGACTGGGGCCCTGAGAGAGAACTGTGCCCTGGAAGGGAAAACCACAGGTGAGAGCCAGGATCAGAAAGCGGCAGCACAGCCATCGCAGGTCCGGGGGAGCTGCTGTGTTTTCCTCAGACTTGCTTAACCGAGCCACTGGAAGAAGAGCAGCTCAAAACAACCATGTGCTCAGAGGTGTGTCTATGGCAAAGGACGCAGTCATCATTAAGAGCAGCTCCCTGTATCAAAACAGGCAAACAAAATCCCTAGAAAATGGGGGCAGGGAACTGAGAAAGCTTCGCTGCCACACGTTAATCAAGCTTCACCTGCTTGCAAAACATCATAATGACGGTGACAGTTTTCTCCTGGTCAAGTTTGGGCTTGCACATTCTCAGCATCCAGCAACTGGACGCCAGATTCCAATCTAAGCCCAGAAGTCTGCTGTCCCCTCGATAGTAAAAGTGTATTTCAAAAAAGTTGGAGAAAGCCTGTGTTTGATCCAGGTGTCTGACCAAGACAAAGCTAATGGAGGAAGACACTCACCTGCTCCATCTGCGATGTCAGGTCCAGATGTGGAGCAGAAGAGGACGTCTGTGTGGTCGATGATGAATTCCACCACGGCCGACTGCGTCTGCAGTTCCGTGCAGGCAGCTCTCCCGCTGGCGCAGGCAGACTCGCTCTGCTGTGATCTGTAGAAAAGGCAGGTTTTAGAAGTCATTCAGCCACGATCGCTTCCCCGGGTCTGAACTGTTGTAGCCCAAAGCTATCAAACTGGGCTCAAGAGACTTCCGCAGTGGGCAATCAGTGATGCCACTGAAAAAGTTCTCCTGGCTGATCAAGGACACACCAGTCCCATCTAAACAAGAGAGCAGCAATGCTCAGCTAGAAATTGTGCCCACGTGGGGTGGGAGAACAGTCCAGGCTCCTGCTCTGCTGTCAGCCACTCACTGCACATTTTACAGGAGAAGAGCAGATGTGGTGCAGAAGAAGGGAGGACTGCTTTATTCTACTGGAGAACAGATGTAAGCGTTCTGTTGAAACGGAAAAAGAAGTTTACCTTAGGAGGTTTGGAGCCCACACAATGGCTAAGTTCTTGGCGTGCATGTTGGTGACAGAGCTGTTTGCAGCAAGACAGGCCAAGTGTCTCATCAGATACGCCAGGGTCCTGGGAAACAAGAGAGGCAAATGTTCAGCACCAGCCAGCATGCCGTGCTGCCACTCACAAAGCAAACCTCAATTCACACTAGTTGTTATTACTGCTACTGACGCTGAAGATGAAGTAGACCCAACTTGACCAAGTGCCACGCTGCAGCACCCAGCACCAGCACAGCACAGCCACAGCCATCAGCTGCACCAAGCCTACCCCCGTGCCCAGGAACTGACCCAATAAATTAACCCTGTAAATTAAACCGGTGCAGCCTTCAACCGCTTCAACATACCCAGGCATCGTGTTGCTCACGTGAGACAAAGCCTGGAATCGCACCAATGCCCTCTGAAGTGCAGCAGGGCTGAGCTCAGCAGGCTGAGGGCAGCACTGACCTGTAGTGAGGAGCGGGCAGCTGCTGGATGGTGTCCCGCATTCTGACCAGCCGCTCCTCCTCCGTAGTGGCACCAACAGCATCCTGGAAAAGGGCAGAAAGGGATTGAGACACAAATCAGGCGAGATACCTGCCGCAGGGTCGGGAACCATGGGCACAGCGCGCTGCTGGTCAGCACTGAGAAAGATTTTAGGCCTCCCCAGAGGCATCTGGCAAACATAGCGGCACGCAGCTGGTGCCACCAAGGCCAAGGAGTCCAAGCACCGGGCCGGTTTACAGCCTGGTTGGGCAGCTCAGCTCCTCGCAGGGGGCATTCATCTCCAAGTACGCTTGGCTATTAATCCCCTTCCTGTTCCAGAAATAGCTGGGGAATAGCAAAAAACAAACAAACAAACAAACAAGACAGGAATTCTCGCAAGCACTGTGAATATGGAAATAACCACCTCCTGGGGCCACCAGAAGCGGCATCAGCACGATGCAGGATGTGGCAAAGACTTGCGAGTAAACCCCATGGGGCTAACAGAAGAAGGGCCTCAGAGCCGGGGCACTGCTGCAGCCATCTCCCAAGAGGCCCAGCGAAGAGGGAAAGGAAAGGCGTTGCCTCGTGCTTACCGAGAACTTGTCGTACAGCTGGTCGGTCAGCAGGGGGGTCGGGAGCTCCCTGAAGTACATTTTGCAGAGGGAGCTCGCGCTGTGAACGTCGCGGACGGTTAGCTCAGGAACCTGCTCACACTCAAATTCCTGGCTGCAGAGAAGGACACGAAAGCGGTTGAGAAAGAGGAAAGCAAGTCAAAAGCCACACCCAATGCAATCAAGAGTTGGAAGGGCTTCCTGATGTACAGGAGAACACAAACACTCGGCCACTAGCACCACGTCAGCCGTGCTGGATGGGATGTTCCCAAAGGAGACCTTTTCTCTGTGCTAAGGCATTGCCCGCAGGCCTCTGAACGCCCGCAACAGGGCACGTGCCCCTGCTGGCAGCTGTGTCTGTCAGTCGCAGCACTCTTACCGCAGTCTCTGGACGTTGGACGCCACGCCGGACAGGCGGTATATCCCCTGCACCACGCCATGCTGCTCGATGAACTCGGCGCAGCTCTGGAGGACCTGGGGGACTAAAGAACACGTGCCGGCGGTTACTGGAGCTCCTTAGTCAAGTCCTGCCTCAGGCTGCGCTCCCGTCACATCCCATCCACTAAGCCCAGCCGGGCTTGGCTGAAGCAAATACAAACGTGCTTGTCTCTTGGGAGCATTAGCCTCACTTCATCTTTCAGCCATCAACTCCCATTCCCCGTTTCTCCACTGGTATCAACCTGCCCCTTGCTAGATACCATCTCCCTTTCATCGTTAGGTTCTCAAACAGGGAAGCTCTCAGGAATGGGCTGTCCCTTACCATCACGACCAGAGTGCAGAAGATGCTCTCCCAGGTCACGGCCGAACACCCTCTCCTTCTCCACCTCCCGCTCTTTCCGTTGCTTTGGGCGGGCCTTCACCACGGAACGAAGGAAGGTGAGGAGCTTGCCGCGCTTCTTTGGCACTGCACAACAAAAGGAAGAAACCAGTTCATCTCAGGTTTGGCTCCGTTGGACGAGGCCGAGCACAACACATTCTACAGAGCACCTCAAAACGGGAAGAACATGATGAGCAAGTGCGTACCAAAATGGATTTTCCCCAACCCTGGATGAGTCCAAGGCCAGACTGGATGGGGCCCTGCGCAGCCTGGTCCAGTCCCACTTTAAACGTGGAGCTTGGTTGGCAGCCCAGCTTGAGGCAAGGGGGCTTGGAGCTTGATGATCCTCGAGCTCCCTTCCACGCCAAGCCATTCTACAAGGATTCTAGGATTTCCCCAACTCCAGTCATAAAACACAGCAGGACTGGGCCAAATCTCTGCACGTTCTGATGGAGTTGAATGCACTCCTCTTGCTTAGCTTGCTCAACCTGGGCATTAAGGACCCTCTTGAAAAGCCACGTTCTGATCAAGCGTGTCACTAGCACAACCAGACCTCTATCTGTCCACCAGGGACGCTGGCTGTTCTCAGCCTCGTACGGACTTGCCGGAGAACTGCCTTGGCCTTCCCTCATTCTCACTGCCTACAAAACACCAGCCATACGCCCCGTGCTATGCAGGAAGGATTATCAGCACAGAGGATAAGGGGGGAAGGATAAGGGAGGTATTAAACATGGAACACACCCAAAAAAGACTCCATTTTGCTTCCCTGCACCATCAAATGTCTCATCGTACCTGGCTTTGGCACTGAATTGATGAGAGACTCCGGGATTTTTCCGTTAATGAGCTCCACACACTCACCAGGGAAAAATCCAACCTGTAACAAGAGGAAGAAGAGACGTGCAATACTGAAGGCAGCGTTTCTCAGGCCTGAACTGTTCAAACATCACCTTTTCCTCATCACGTGCCTGCCGGATGCTCCGTAAGACAATCCAACCAAAAAATGGCCTGCTTAAAATTAATAATTATTCCAAATTGGCAGGCAAATATCCATAAAACTGTGTATGGAGCGGGGAAAGGACAAGTATGCTATGCACCCCTAAATCTCAAGCGTGCCCGAAGGGAAAGACTTCATACAGAAGCTACATATTATGATAGATTGATGCAGCTAGATCTGAGTTGGCACAGCCTATGAACTTTCTGCTTGCTGACTGAGATGCAGCTGCCATCCCCAGCTCTGAGCTACCCAGCGTTCTGCAGCCAGCAGCAGCAGCAGCAAGCGCGCAGAGGCTCTGTTACCCTGCCTCATCTCAGCTGACAGGCAGCGACTTCCTAAAAGACGCTGACTTCACCTTCTGCATGGGTGCAAGCACAAGTGCTCAGAGACACTGAAACACGTGTCCTAGCTGCTGCATTTCCAAAGGTGCGGTTCAGTGGCCGTGACCTGATGCACGCTGTGAGGGCTCTTCTTTCTAAGTTAACTGAGGAGGCAGTTTCCTACAAAGACCAACTTTCAGCTCTGGCCTAAGCCCACAGCAAAAGGGAAAGTCCTCTGACACCAGCACAAGGAAACCATTTTCCATGTGGAGCCATGCTGTGCAGGCAGGGCAGCTCTAAGCTGAGATTCCTGCCTCGACCGAAGTTGCGCTCTCACGTCTGAAGCTTGGGCCTACCTGAAAGCCGTGCTTGCCTCTCCAGCGGGGGCTCAGCTCCTGAGGCGGCATCTCGATGACGCACACGAGGTCTCCCACCTGCAAGAGATTGCAACGTCAATCCCAGCTTCGGCACGGCTGGGAGGAAAGCGCAGCTCAAATGACTGCATTCTTCTGCACTGCCCAATATCGTCAAGCTTGAGAGCCATTGCACCAGTGCAGCTCTTCAGGCATTTGCAGTCGTACAACTGAACGTGCAAGTAGAAGAGTCACTCCAATACACAACATACAGAATTCAGCTGTTCAGTATGAAATGGTTCTCAGAAGCAGCAGGCTCTTTGCCAAAGGGAGAGCTCCAATTAAACCGCAGGCATAAGTCAGCCAAACAGATCCTGAACAGATCTGCACACTCCATACACTGCTCTGCCATTGCTCAGAGACCAGGCTACCACACCGGGCAGTAGCTCTTGGATCACAAGATTCCAATGCCAAATAGAGCCATAGTTCAGAGATGGCTGAACTCCTCCCTGCATCCAACCCAGTGCAAGTCTAATCTGGAGCCGCACCTTCTGAGCTTCACCTCACCAAACATTCGGAAGGTGTCTGAGAATATTCCTGATAGCTTCACACGTTATACTCTTCTGTACAGGACAACAAGGAACGCCCTTAACTGCTTACCTCCAAGGAGAGTTCACCCGGTGCCTGGGCAACGTATCTCTTAATAACGTGGGCAGCAGCAATAGCTGGGATATTAAGAGATGACTCCTCACGGACCAGCAGGGGCTTCCCGTTGTTCTCAGCCTGAAACAGAGAGCACAGGCCACGGTGAGGAGCTGAGGGCAAACGAGGAGGATTTCAGGCTGAGGAGCATGTCAGCAGAGAAAGCTGCAGGAAGTGCACTCCGTCCTTATCATGGGCACACAAGAAGGAACGGCAAGGCTAAGAACATGCCCGCAGCAAGGAAAGAAAGCCTTGAAGGCAGCTTTTCAGTGACACCGATAGAGCCGCAAGGATTCGCTCTCTTGAAAAGCAGGAGAGCACATCTGCAGCTCACTCTGCTGGCTCAAATCAGGGAACAAAGACCAATCAGAGCTCCACACTCTACCTCCATCCGTGTCATGCCAGGCTCACAGCTGATCTCGCTGCACGCGATGCCCATCACAGCAGGCACGACAAGCTGGAATGAAAAGAAACACGCTCATATTTTCTCTCTTCACACACCACACTATTGAGAGACTTCTTCAGAACTACCCTTGGCTATCCTCTGGCACAGGCGGGTGCTCTAGAAGCAACCACTCTGTTCACTCCGTTCAAATGGGACAGCCCATTAGGCAGCATTTGACCAAGCGGCTGTCCCTCTGCTAGCAGATGGGGACTGGCACAAAGCAGCAGATGCATTCGCCCAGGGCGCTCTGACAGCGCAGCAGCAGGGCAGTGAGAGGAATCATTGCTGCAGGTGCATCTGCTCCCCGGCCCCGGCTCCCAGCAGCCTCACCACCGGCACCTGCTGCAGCCCCGCACATCAAGGATTTCCTCTGCTCGCATCTCTGCTGTGCTCCCCACAGCTGCCGCACACACTCTCACAGGCCAAGCGTGCATGCTTGTGACCTTGGGTCACGCTGTGCAGCTCAGCACAAACTGGGCCTAGGACTCTTTGCCTAAGGGATTGCTTTCCTTCAGACCAGCTGGTCACAGCACCACACACAGCATCCTCCTGAGGGCGGAGCTGCAGGGGAAGGGAAAAAACCCACACGGGACCAGTGTCCCATCAACGCTGGGTGAGGCTGTGTTACCAAACATGGTGCGACACAGTGCTGGTCAACCACGTGGGGGGACAAAGCGTGGCACGTACCTGGCAGGAGATCAGAACAAGGTAGACAATTCCTTGAACTCGCAGCTGTTTCTTGTCACTTTGCTCTGTGCTTCCACGAGCGAAAGCTGCACCAAGGGAGCGGATAGAGGAGAGAGAAGGAACAGGTCTGTGAGCTTGCACAATGCAGCAAAGATGACAAGGGAAAAGCCACGGGACAAATGCCATCTTTGTGGATCGCTTGGGAATGCAGGTACTGGCTGAAAGTTACGTCTGATGTACAAGAGCAAGCAGTACGAGCTGCTAGGAGCTCCACCAGCCAGCAGTTTTCAACAGCTCACTGCCCACCCGTCCATCCCACGCTGTCTCAGCTTACCTACAAGATGCTGCACAAGACACAAGGGGTGAAACCGAAGGCACTCAGTCGCTGCACAAGGGCAACAAGCGAGCTACTCACGCAGAGCTCAAGCGCTCCAATGAAGGGACGCAGCACGCACTGCTCCTCCCCTCATTCCAGCCTCTTGTGACATCACTAAGGGCCACCAGGCTGCTCCGCCATGACGACAGGGTGGGGAGGCAAGACCATGTCACAGGACCAGAAGATGCCAACACCGCACCCAACATTCTAGAATCAGCGGGCGGTTGGAATCCTACCTCAGCCCAATCCTGCACAAGCTGCCATGCGGTTGTCATGACCACAGCGCAGGACCCAGCGCTTGCTCCTGTGCAGCCTCGTACGGCTGGCCTCAGGCCGTCCCTCTGCAGGGCCTTCCTGCCCTCGGGCAGATGGACACTGCTTCCCAACAGCGTACCTCGCAGCGCAGGGCCTATGTACAATCCACACTGCAGTCCTATCGATCTGTATCAAGCTATCTATACCCAGACACACAGTCACCACTACCATCTTCTTTCTGAGTCTTGAGGTACACCATTCAGCGGTTTCATTGCCATCAAACAACCCCACTGACGGCACACTGCTGACACAACGTCCTTGCTAACACAGCAGCAACTCCTGGCACCGACAGCTCCGGGTACAACAAGCACAGGGCTCTGCGTTGCTTTGGATGCAGTTGCAGCATGGATCTGAGGGCTTTGTGGAAGGGGATATATTGCAAATTGCACCGACGTTTTCAGACCATTTCTCTTTCGGCATGGTCCCAGCACCTGGCATGCTGATCATCATCCTGAATATACATTATGTCAAAGTTCTACAACTAATGAAATAGTTCCTTACCAAACGCAATCTGATCACTCTTCTGGCCATATTTTGTTCCAGCTACCGCTTCCTGCGGGTGGCACCAATAGCGCTGCATCACCTATAGCTCTCTGCTCTTACAGTTCTCATGCTGTCTGGGCAGTCCTCGTGGCCTCAAAACTCTCTCATGCCACACGTGCCACATTCTGAGGCACAGAAGATATATCGCACTACTTCAAAACGCCTTTTTTTTTTTTTTTTTTTTAATACAATGATACTAGGGATAATCATCTGGAGCTAGAGCATTATAAAAAAATTCCCTTTAGTTCAACCATAAGTCTGCCCCATGGACTCCAGAAGAGCTCTAAGAACATGCAGCCTGGACATGGATGGCAGCTACCATAACAGTAAGCAATGAAAAATGAGGTGGTGAGCCATGCTGTGTCATTGCATCTGCGGGCAGGGATTCTCCTTGGACTGAGCAGAGTGCAGATGTCGCCTGAGAAAAGAACTTAGGATCATTCAGGAAAAGCAAATGAGTTGAGTAATTAATTGAAGAAACTCACGTTCTAAAGGTACTTAGAAGGAGAGAGTATTTCCCAACAGAATGGGTTTAACTGTCTATTCCCTGTTTTGCTAGACAGGTCTACTCTGTGTATGCTTAGACTGACCTGAGAGGGCATGCTTCAGCACACCCCACAATTTCCAGTTTCCACATCGTCCAGGCAGCGCAAGTGCGGTGTACGTCTCCCTTGGCACAGACATCAAGCTTTTCTTCCTGTGCAATCAACTAATTATGACGGGGGAAGGGGACAGTACAGGCCTCACAAGAGAAGAGCCTGGCGGAACGATTTTAGAGCTGGGAGTCAGGCAAATGACTCGGCTCAAGTGCACCTATACCAATGCACGCAGCATGAGCAACAAGCAGGAGGAACTGGAAGCCATTGTGCACCAGGCTAACTACGATCTAGCTGCTGTTACTGAAACATGGTGGGACTGCTCCCATGACTGGAGCCTTGAGATTGATGGCTATAAGCTCTGCAGAAGGGATAGACAAGGAAGGAAGCCAGAATATTCATCAATACTGAATTGATCCTGCAATTCAGGAACCTCACAAGCAACCTGAAATAAGCGTCTAAAAAAAAAAAAAAAAAAGAAAAGAAAAGAAAAAGGAGAAAAAGGTAATCAGCATACCAGTAGCTGTTCTTCTTCAAACCATGGTTCCCAAGCATACTGCAAGTGGACAAGCTATAGCTTATCACATCAAAAGCCATCTAGAAGATTCAGTTATTGGTACTGGCCATGTTGGCATTCGCTCACTGTAAGCATCTGCAGGACAAGTCCATGGACCGAATGACCTTGTGCACCCATCCTTCTGTCTCAGCTGCAAGAACAATCCTCACTCCCAGCCATTTCCAGTTTTCTTTCTTACAAAAGATGAAAGATATAAAGAAGCTCTTCATTCAAAAGTTACTTGATTATACAAACAACTAAATTCCAGCCTGCTTTAATCCAAAGTGCCATCTAGTTTGCATACAGAGAACTAGGGTGCATATAGGAAAGAACGCACGCACACTCTAGTTTTCAATGGCCAGAATATCATAATAAACACATAGAAAAACAGCCTTTACTCTGGAGGCTTGTATGGCAAAGCCAATTGTTTGGACCAGCTCATTAATATACTATATCTAGTTTGTCAATTCCAGCTACGTATTTTATATGTCATTATGATCAATGATTGTGGAAGCCCAAAGGGCAATCTCTCATTTTCAACAGACCTCCTTTTTGACTGAGATGGAATTTATTACATTTAAAATTCATCACTCCTCTTTGTTTGCAACACTGTCCACTGACAAACTCCTCAACACAATCAGCTCAAGTCTTCTACCTGAATTTCTGGGATGACTGTGACAAGTATTCCTTCACGATGCTCAGATGTGCACCGTCTCCCATGAGCATCTTGCTGGACGCAGCATGCTGCAGCATCTTTGCAACAAACCAAGGTTTCTTCGTTGATCTGCAGTCAGCTGCCCTCCAGCTGAAAGATCCATTAGGTCAAATGCATCCGGTGCCACCATGGCCGGATTCACGTAGCGGTGATAGAGTAAGTTGCCAACAATCTAGGACAAGTTGAGGAGAGAAAAAAACACGTGGAAAACCAATGGCACAGACCTCCACTGACTTTTACTGACACTACTCCGAGTGAGTTCTGACCAATTACTTTCCTGTGAGCTGTGGGCCCCGTTCCAGATGCAGGGTCTACTGCGCTGCCATTAATAAGCACATGCTGTCCCAAAGAATCTTAGTTTCACACTGCAACATAGATACATACACTAAATAAATGCACAACTGTGCATTTAATCCAGAAGTAAGAAACTCAGAAGTGCCGAAGATGAGCGGTATTTGACATTTCAAAAGAAGTCCAATTCACCAGCTAAGTGAGCAGCAATGAACGCCGAGGCCCCAAAGATAAAGACAGCCCGTTATCCACGTGCTCATCCATCTACTTCTAACCCGTATTGGACATTTGCCTGCAGTAATTCCCACAACAAAAAGGCATTGGCCCAGCACGCTGACATGCAGCAAAAGTTCCCACGCCACATGCTTCAGTATTTCCTGGAGTTTCACATCAATCTGCGCAGAGCCAAGTCACAGAATCTGGGCTTCTCCTGCTTCACGTGCGATTTGAATGCACAGAAGAGATCAGAGGTGTGAAGAAATGGCAAAAACAGAAAGAAGAAGCTTCGCCATTGCTAAGCTGCCCCAGAAATTAACTGCTTTCAGAGAGGTCATGGTTTTGACAGCGGTTTCAGCTCTTGCTCTACTATCCCAGGTGACGGCACATGGTCACAACAGACAAAACTGTTCACTACCAGTCATAAGAAACACATTTGTGAGAGAAATCATACTGATAATAGTAAAACATGTAGTAGGAAGACAAGAACAGTACACTGTAGGAGTAGTTTTAGGCCCTAATGCATCTACAGGCAGTCACCGCACGCAGCTGCAGTTCAGAGTGCGGCATGGGCCGTGACATTGTTTCCACAAGGATTAATAAAAACTGCAGCTTTCCACCTACATCTACAGATGGAAAAAATGAATTCACCTGCACAGAAAGAATCGATGCCTCAGAACGGGAAAGCACGGAACCAGAAGAGAGAAGAAAACGGCATTCAGATTGGGAATTACTTCGTAATGAAGCAGAGACAGAAAAGCTTAAAGAGACTGTGGCAAGTAATGTCAAAGCCACTCTTTGTTTTATTAAGAAGAAGAGCACTCACAGACAGAAAGACCTTCAAAATAACAAACGCCAGGACAATCCCAATGAAAGCCACAATGCTGTGCTCATTTGGAAGCATTTACTACTAACATCCTTTTCGTTCTCCAAAGTACGGAAATGTACAACACAAAACTGCCCACACCTCATGAAAAATGACACCATATACTTTGTTGCAGCTACTGTAATGCCCTAGAATATTGTAAGGGAAGTGAGAAGAGTAGAATTCTGCACACGGGCCTTTTCAACTTGGCACACTGTCTCTTTAAAAAAAGAGCAACTGACTCAGATAACACCAGCAAAACCAAGGTGCACCATTCAGCAGCAAGAGCATCCCAAAGCCAAGAAACCTAGGGGGCACAATGCCCAAGATATTAAAAGCAAAAGGAAAAGCAGTAGGGTGACTTCTTCTGAACGCTGTATTATGTTCTCCTTTGACAAACATGTATCCAGCAATCCAAAGCACAGGGCAAAGTACTTTATACCCATAACAACAAATAGCCTGTCTACTTAAACTGCAGCTTTGAAACTTCTCTGCACACGTACAGCCAACAAACAACACTGAGATGCATCTGCTGCAGTCAGCGTGGCAGACAATGATTCACAGAGCTGCTCAGCTCCTTACCTTCAGAAGCTCATCCTCGCCAGCATCAGGAAACTTGTCATGCCGGGAGTCTTTCAGTACCTTGGCGATGAAACGCATCCCGTAACTTCGAAGGAAAAAAAAGGCAAGTGAGAATTCCTCACGGATGAACCCACTATTAACTGCTGCAGGATAACGCGGTGACACACCAGACTTACGGGATTTGGTCAGCTGAACAACGATGGCAGACAGGAACTTGTCTGTCACTGCCTTCACATCTCGGGTTGAGGCATCCAGGTGCATCCTCACCTCACCGTGATTAAGAGCTTGTTCAGGTGTAACATCGTACGGCAACTTGCTATTTGGAAAAGTCAGATGTGAAGGTGAGCACTCCTCAGCCTAATATACTTTTGTCAGTGCCAGGCAGAATTGTTGGCTTGACACACAAACAGATCCACGCTCACCTGGCTGCAAAGAGCTGCACGCTTTCACTTTCATTAGAATGCTAGCACTGAAAGAGCAAAGGACTTCTCACGTCCTCTGCTGTCCCTGCAGCAGTCGCTGTGAGAACAGGCCCAGCTAACTCTGAACTGTATCTTTCTGTACCACATGCAGACACGCTCTCTAGAGTCAAGAAGGTCACCTGCGATACGCAGTAGTACCTCAGGTCGCAAATAAATCAGTGAAAACACAAGCTGCACATTGCAGTGTTAAGATAGTAACTCACGCAGCGTGCTGCGCTGGGACAGTTGTCTTTTACTTCATAGCATTGCTTTTCCACCACTTCCCTTGAAGTGCCTTAAAAACAAAACAAATACAACCAACAACAGAATCCTCAAAATCTGGTCAACATCAAGCACTGGAAGAAACACAGAACTCTGACTGGGGACGGATGGGAGCCCATCAAGACTTTATAGACACAGATTAAAGGGAGGACAGGGACAGATGACGTAGCGGGGGATCTACAGGCCAACCAACCAGGATGACCACGTGGATGAAACCTTCTCATGGGCAGACAGGAACAGCTGCATGCTGTGATTCTATGAACACGGCCTGTGTTGAGAAGGAGCACAATGCTCATCTCGTTCCAACCCCCCGCTGCGTGCAGGTTCACCAACCAGCAGCCCAGGCTGCCCAGAGCCACATCCAGCCAGGCCTTGAATGCCTCCAGGGATGGGGCATCCACAGCCTCCTTGGGCAGCCTGCCCGAGCTGTGGGCAGAGATTGGCTTGGTAGAGTAAGAGCTACGGTATCTGTACCTATGAGTTAACACAGAAGAAATGCTTTGGGGCTTTTTTTGGCCTATCTCTTCATGAGATTCACTTCTCATAGTCTCAACACCCCTGTCACAAGATGATCTACTGCGTCCAGTTCTGGGCTCCCCAGTACAAATAAGACAGGGATCTCTTGGAAAGAGTCCAGCGGAGGGCCACGAAGATGGTGAAGGGCCTGGAGCATCTCTGCTATGAGGAAAGGCTGAGTGAACTGGGTCTGTTCAGCCTTGAGAAAAGAAGACTGAGAGGGGACCTGATCCAGGTCTATAAATATCTAAGGTGTGGGGGGCAGAATGGTGAGGCCAGACTGTTTTCAGTGGTGAGTGGAGACAGGACAAGGGGAAACGGCTGGAAACTGCAGCATAGGAAGTTCCGCACAAACATGCGCAAGAACTTCTTTACAGTGAGGGTGACGGAGCACTGGAACAGGCTGCCCAGGGAGGTGGTGGAGTCTCCTTCTCTGCAGATGTTCAAGACCTGCCTGGATGCCTACCTGTGCGACCTGCTGTAGGGAACCTGCTTTGGCAGGGGGGTTGGACTCGATGATCTCTGGAGGTCCCTTAAAACCCCTACAATTCTGTGATTCTGTGATCTTTATACCTTTCAGAAGAAAGCCATCTCGAGCTGATGGAAAAAAGCTGGTAGCAATTGGACAGATGCATGCAATGAATACAGGGATGGTTCGGAACGATTAACAGAGCAATGCAAAGCAGCTGAGCAACTTTCAGAAAAAAAACAGTAGCAACAGCTTCCATACCCGGCCTCACCATTCTGAGATCCCATCTGGTTCACCCAGCACTTGTAAATATCCACTGGATCCGTTCTGACGTTGAGCGATTCGCCCTCAATTATTTCCTTCACAACTGGGGCCAAGATCTGCCTCAGTGCGTTCTGACCACGGGCACCACGGTTGAAAGAGCGCATCTCAAAAATACAGAGGAAACAAAGGGAGTTCTACACAGGCACAACTATTTCCTCTCAGTATTTCAACAAGTAAGCAATCAGCAACAAGAGCCATTCACAGCATGCCGCTATGGGAAATCCAGCAGCAGAGAATAAAGCATAGACATGCACTTTCCTGAACTACTGCTCCAAGAAAAGATAATAATAATTAAACAAACCTTTTAGGCGTTACCTGTTGGAGGGCACATACCATCCTCACACTTAAAAACATCAAAAAAGGCATGACTGCCTCCAACATTACATGTATTTGCTATTCCTAGCAAGTTGTGAAGCTCCGTATCAGCCAGAAGTCATAAACACCAAACTCCTAAGTGCCAATCAACTCAATTATGCCGACAGACAGCCAGAATCCTTAAGCCTGACAGCCAGGAAAAAACCCAAACCAGACAGCATCTGATTTTCAGCCTCCTCATCAGTTTTGGAAAACAGTGACCTTCGCGTCAGCTTCACTCTGGCCTGTAAAGCCCAAGCTCGCAGTCTGTGCCAAGTCCTTCTTACTAGACAGCAGAGAACTTAGATGGGAATGAATCTTAGGAAAGCACTGCAGTAGATCAAAAACAGTGCCTCCCTGAGCAAGAAAGCACTGGCTAAAGAAAAATGGCTTTAATCCTAAAGAACAAAGGTAATTCCTCCTCCTTCCAGGTTACAGAAAGGACTGACGTGAAACAGCATGAGCAGAAGGCAGGGACAGTTCAGCATTATCAGCTAATGAGCACGGGACATCACACAACAACAGCTGCAATTTTAGCAGCGGCCCAAACTCAGGCAACAGCAAGGCTGTGTCCTATGCTACAACGTACTTGATCTCTTCCTGCAATGCTGTTTGCAACAGCCGCAACAGCAGAGATTCCTCTCTCTGACTGGATGCGTAGTTATGCAGCGTGAAGATGGCTGAATCCATGAACTCTGTGGGGTTGTTTTGAGGCATCTGCAAAAGCAGCTTGGCCAAGTACGTTGGAGTAGTCTAAAACAAGAAGAAAAAGTACTTAGTGCACGTGTATAATCAATGACTATGAAGATGTTGTCATTATGAAATAAACAAGAGAGTTTGACAAAGCAGACTAAGCTAACAAAAGGAGAATAAATAGAAGGCTTACCCCTATCCTGGGCTCACTTACAAAACTCCAGCAGAGCAGATCTGCAGACGAGATCCTTCCCCACTGGTAGCCAGCTCTTAAACAGGTCTAGGAGGGCTGTAGCCTGGCTGCACCCCTTCCAGCAGCACAGCTGCATTGCCTTCACCTGTGCTCCTCTGCCTGACTCACTGCTCGCCTCAGGTGATCAATCAGAGGTTCAGGCCATGACTCAGCAGTTCCCATACAGCACGTGTCCACAAAAGCCAACACCACAAAGACAGACAGCGCCTCAACACTGCAGTGCAGAAGTACAGACTGTTCCAATACACGTAAGCATCTATGACAAGAGCAGTGAATGAAAAGCTGCATACCTGTGAGAATCCTTCTTAGTTTTTTTTTTTGGCTCAAAGCTTGCTTCCTGAGGTTTTTCTTGTGATAAGACTCTGAGTGACTTGTCAAGGAGGCAACTGATGGGTGCTAACTGTGTGACAATCAATATCACTTTGGGAACATTTGCAAGCCCCTTCCCCCAGAGCTGCTTGCTCTGTAGAAGAGCGGAAGAGAGTGCTCAGCAGTGTTCACTGGCGGAAGATCTGGCCTGTGGCCAAACCGCTCCAGCTAAGTATGGAAGGCTGGGGGATGATACCATTGTATCTTGCGAAGGCAAGATGCAAGTTGGTGCCTCCCTGCTTCCTCTTATCTGCTGGCAAGGCCAGAAAGATAAGAACAAAGGAGGTTCCTGCTGAGATCCCAGAGCCAGAAGCTGCCACCGCAAGGAGAACTGACTCAACCACCTTGGGTTTGATCTGTCACTCAAAGGAGAGCTGATTCGACCACTTTGGATCTGAGCTGTCACACCAAAAACAGCTGACTCACACTTTGAAGTATTGAAAAAGAGCCATCATCACCATGGTCGTTGTCGTCGTTGGCAACAGGACAACAATGTCTGACGACCCACCACTACTGAGGATCAAAGACAGAACTACGAACCTCGCTGGATCCATGGTGGTGACTATGTCCCTCTTGCTTCCTATAAAGACTCCTTGCTTCCTCTTTCCTATCTTTTCTATCGCCCCCCTTCCCTTCCCCCATTACCCTAATTCATAATAGTGTCCGTTCTCCCCTTCCTCATTTCCCCTGATTAAGATTTGTAATAAACTGGTTGGACCAACATTTGAACCGTTGCTTCTTAATCTCACACCGGGTATATAGATAATAAAAGAACCTCCTCTCCCTCCTATAAATTGGAGCGAGACATTTATTTAATGGCGTAGTCAAGGCAGGATACCCGCTGTGAGAGTGTTGTCCTTCCAGATATAGTTTTAAACTTTTTTCTTCTGTGTGTACCTCCTGGAGTTGCAAGGAGCGATAGTTTTGAAAATTTAGACGTGAGTCCTTCTCCAGGAAGACCTCTCCATATTCTGAAACTTTACCTTTTATGTGTGTACCTCTCGGGGACGTATTTTGAGTACTTGCATTTTGTTTAATACGTGTGTGCCTCCTCGGGAAGACCTCTCTGGTTATTTGGTAACTGAAGTGCGAAACTTGAACCTTTTTGTGTGTGTGTGTGTCTGCATGCACGTGCCTCTTGGGGAAGAAAGGAAGTGATATTTTGTTACTTAAACGTGTGTGCCTCTCCAAGAAATTTTATTTACTCCATTGAAACCTAGAAAGTTTTGCTTTAGCGTCACATTTTTTGTGCTCCCCCAAAGAAAGAGGGGAGTGATTGGAGCATTTGCATTTGTTTAGGTGTGCTGCATCTCCCTGGGAGGAGAGATAAGGAGTCACTTGAGCTTTTGAATACGTACACCTCCCTTAGTGTAGGCCTTTCATTGTATTGAAAAAATGAGCTACAGCATTGCCAACATGAAAAGTGAAGATGTATTATTTGATCTTTTAGAAAAACATGGTGCTCGACCCTCTTTATCAGGTTTGGATTGGGCACGACAGAACTGGTATAACTTGCAGAGTGTTTCGGACCGTATTAGTATCCTGCAAAAGAATGCTCGTACTCGAGCTGGAAAAGGAAAGTCGTTTATCTGTGCAGTACTAGGTTCTGCTCTGGTTGCAGCCACAGAATTCCGAGACCAGCATCTTAAGGCAGAAACCCAAACTATACAAGCACTGCAGGAATCGGTTAAAGTAACACAAGAATTGGTGAAAACTCTGCAGAATCAAATAGTGAACCTTGAGGAACAATTAGAAAGAGAGAAATGTAATTCGGCTTTGTTGCAAATTGCTTTTAAGGAACTGCTAACGTGTAAGCATGCCAGCCATACCGTCACCCATAGTTTGCCTCGAGGAAAAACTTTTCCTCAGGTGGAACTACCAGGAATGAAGGAAAGGCTAGATAAATTAGAAACTCCAATAGCCCCATTGCGTCCTTTGATAAAAACTGAATACACATTCGATAACAGTGAGGATCTAGATCCTCAAATTAATGTTAAAGAAATTCCCTTCTCAGCCACTGAACTAGCGAAACTGAAAAAAGATTTTAGCCGCTCTCCAAAGGAATCAGAGACAGAATATGTATGGAGGGTGAGTCTCACTGGTGGCGACCAGATTCGGTTAACAGAAAAGGAAGCAGAAGGTTATTGGGGACCAGGAGTATTTTTAACTACTGGTAACAATCGTGTTCCCTGGTCCTTAACGCAAAGGGCTGCCTATTGGGCAGGTGGTCTCAACCCTTTAGAAAGGGGAGACCCTCTTGCCATTACTGGAACAGTTGATCAGTTAGTAGAGAGTGTTCAAAAGGCTGCTTGTCTCCAAATGATGTATGATAGAAAGCTGCAGCCACACCATGAATCACCTATGATGATGCCTGTTGATCCTGAGAGAATGACCCCTCTAATTAGGGGGCTTCCAGAGTCGTTAAAACCTATAGGTATTCAACTGCAAGGAAAAATAGAGGCTATGTCTCAGGGAGAGAGAACCCGGCCAGTGTTAGAAGGAACTGTAACCCCCAACCATCTGCAGTCAGGAAACAAAGCGTGGACGTGGGGAGAGGTTGCCCGAGAGTTAATTAACTATGGAAGGAAATATGGGCCAGTGGTTTCTTCCTCCATTAAATTTGAGCCAAGGGAAGTACAACTTGCAGCAGTCAGCCTTGCCCCCAGACCTCCTTGCTCAAAGCTCAGTGGGACTGGAAGGGTCTCACTGTCAGTAAAAACAGGTAGGCGAAATATTGAACATAAACGTAATTGTCTCTGGACACTGGGCTGGCAAAAGGGTGTTCCACGAGATTTGATGAATGGATTACCCACTGTCAGGTTAGAGAAATTAGTTAACTGGTGGCCAGAACAAAAGATCCAGAATCTTGAGGAAAGCAAAACCCCAGGTCCTAGGGTCTCTCCCAGGGAACCTGAACGGCTATCCAAACCATTAGAAAACTGATGTCTTCGCCCCCCCCAAGTGAGCGGGGTGGGGGCGGTGAAGGGTGGATGCATGAGAAAGCTCACAACAAAGGGAAACAAGATCGTCGATTTAACACCTTTTGCTAAAGGCCCCACCACTCTTGCCAGTTATCCCTGTGAGTCACGATCCAGTAGCTGATAAGCCAGGGAAACACTCTTACCTCCCTGGCCAGACTGTATCGATTGATTTAGCTAACCTGAGGCCGGTTTCACTAAACTTAATGGAATCCCTTAACAAATATCTTTGGAAGGCTAAAGACACCCCGAAAAAGGAATATGAAATCAACACTTGCTGGATTGTTCCCTCATTTTTTAACCACATTAACAAAGCCCAAAAAGGGCAAGTCGGTGTCTTAGTTTTATTTTCACAGAAGATCCCCGTGGGACCTTGACAGAACACAAAAAGGCTAATAGCTGATTTTAACTATTTGTGTTTTGTGACAGAAATACTGATTTGATCATGCTAGAACACTGAATGTACCTTTTGATTACATTTTTTTTTGGTTGCAATAGTGTTATGTTTTGTGTTGTTATGGGTGTGGGTGGTGGTTGGTATCAGTCCTTGGATCTGTTAAACTTCACAACTGGGTTCAGGGTTTTTTACAGGTCATCCTGGCTTACTGGCACTCCCTGCACAGTGATACCATTTCTTTTGACTCCTTCTTTCACCCCTTTTTACCAAACTGATTATGATTTGCATGTAACTCCTCCACAGTGTTTCCAAATTCCTGACAAACTGGGAAATGAATCAAGGGACCCATCTAATATCTGTTAGATGTGGTCACAAAAGAAATCTATCATAAAGCCTTTTGCACTGATGCTTTTCAGTGTCACACCAGTCCAGGAGTTCCATCCAAAACATGGTTGTTGGAAAGTGCCTAAGTTTTAAAAAGAGATGTGTGTGTTTCTGGGATTACCTCTCTTTGATGGTTGGTGTTGTGGGGGTATCCTGCACACACTGTCCTGTGAAAAGTTCTGTGGACTGTAACAATACTTGAACTTGCCAAACTAATATTTATATCTCTTAGCATTTGAATTGCTTTGGAAATGCTCAAGTGTAAAGTTCTCGAGACACTAAGTCATCTTAGAAAACATTACATGGCAAGTCCACATATTGTCAAATTAGACTAGATATGCTTTTAGTAAATTAACTGAAGTGTAATATTGTATGGCTATTCATAAACACCACAACCTCTACTGAAGAATTCCCATCTGGATCCTGGCTTACACTGGGAGTTCCTGGGTGGGGAAAGCAGCTGACACAAATACCTAAGTTTGTTTACCTATTTATTTTTTATTATTGGTTATTGTTAAATGTATGGTTGTCTCTTTTCACTTTCTACCTTTTATTCATCATGTAACATTCATGTCACCACTCCTGAGATATCACTGAGTGGTGTCTGTGGCAAATTGAATGATTCTAATTGTTGTCTAAAGATTGATGATAATGGTAAAGTTGTTAAACAAATTGCCCAGGGTATACGGAAGATAGCCCATGTTCCTGTCCAAACCTGGAAAAGCCTGGATGTTGATCTCTTTTCCTGGCTTCCAAGTGGCCCATGGGTCAAACGTATCCTATTTTATCTGCTGTGTGTTGTTGCAACTCTTACGTTTGTACCTTGTATGATTCCATGTTTTATTCAACTTATACAACGTGTTGTATCTTCCATGTATTTTGTAACTACTTCAACTGATGATGGACAAGTCCAACAGATCAGGGCAACATTTGTAACCAAGCCCAAGAAAACTACTGTAGCAATTGTGTAACGATTATCTTCCCCTTCTCCCCCTCCTTCTTCCCCCCCCTGCTTCTTTGCAGTCTTTTTATTTTCTCCCTTTTCTTTTCCTCACCACCGTGAAGGGTCACTTATGCTTCATTTCAAGCAATCTTTGAGCCACGGGGTGGTGTGAGAATCCTTCTTAGTTTTTTTTTTGGCTCAAAGCTTGCTTCCTGAGGTTTTTCTTGTGATAAGACTCTGAGTGACTTGTCAAGGAGGCAACTGATGGGTGCTAACTGTGTGACAATCAATATCACTTTGGGAACATTTGCAAGCCCCTTCCCCCAGAGCTGCTTGCTCTGTAGAAGAGCGGAAGAGAGTGCTCAGCAGTGTTCACTGGCGGAAGATCTGGCCTGTGGCCAAACCGCTCCAGCTAAGTATGGAAGGCTGGGGGATGATACCATTGTATCTTGCGAAGGCAAGATGCAAGTTGGTGCCTCCCTGCTTCCTCTTATCTGCTGGCAAGGCCAGAAAGATAAGAACAAAGGAGGTTCCTGCTGAGATCCCAGAGCCAGAAGCTGCCACCGCAAGGAGAACTGACTCAACCACCTTGGGTTTGATCTGTCACTCAAAGGAGAGCTGATTCGACCACTTTGGATCTGAGCTGTCACACCAAAAACAGCTGACTCACACTTTGAAGTATTGAAAAAGAGCCATCATCACCATGGTCGTTGTCGTCGTTGGCAACAGGACAACAATGTCTGACGACCCACCACTACTGAGGATCAAAGACAGAACTACGAACCTCGCTGGATCCATGGTGGTGACTATGTCCCTCTTGCTTCCTATAAAGACTCCTTGCTTCCTCTTTCCTATCTTTTCTATCGCCCCCCTTCCCTTCCCCCATTACCCTAATTCATAATAGTGTCCGTTCTCCCCTTCCTCATTTCCCCTGATTAAGATTTGTAATAAACTGGTTGGACCAACATTTGAACCGTTGCTTCTTAATCTCACACCGGGTATATAGATAATAAAAGAACCTCCTCTCCCTCCTATAAATTGGAGCGAGACAATACCTCAAGTAGAAAAGATGCTGATAGGCTTCCAGCTTTTCCCTCTCCTCTTTGCTCCAAGCTTGCAAACCTCCCTTTTGCTCGTTCAGCGTCATCACGTCACAGAGCTGTTCCTTGTTCTCCTTGCTAAGATTTTTGCTATGAGAAACAACATCCTGCAAAGAACACAGAGGGACAGATTCCACATTTAAATAACACGCAATATGGGAAAAAGCTGCACGATAGCACTTCCTTTTGGGTGGATAAGGCAGTCAAGGTACATCAGGAGATCATGAAGTGAAACATTATCTGTTGTAGCAGCGATTTCTGTCTTGTCCCCACATTCCAGAATTGGGTGAGAACCTACAAGGACTAATTGCTTTGAGCAGGGACTACTGTCACAGCTGGTAGCGTTCTGAAGATGCTTGAAAATGCCTTTCTTTCTCAACTGTGCTTGAAGCCCCAAGCCCTGTTTCCATTTTGCTGACTCCCTGCCTCCACTGCTCTGATAACTATGATACTTTTTGCTGCCAGCATCAGCCCAAGAGCTGGAGCCTCCTTTGGAACTGAACTTCACTGCTGCCATGGTTCAGATTTTACACAAGGTCAAGCCTAGCGCCACGCTATTCAGGACCAAAGGAAAAGGTGACTGTAACTTCAGCTTGAGTTAAAAAAAGGCACCGCTGTATCAGCAACGTTGTTCTTGTGTGCAATCAATCGTCAGCAAAGTGACAGAGGGGGCTTCCATCAGCCAACCAACACCAAGCAGTCTGAGCACATTTCCTGCTCCAAAATCACCTCCCCCTCTGATACAGCACACAAAACGTGAGAAGAAATTAAGGTGTGCAAGTCCATGACTCACGTAACCACAAGTGAAGAGACAAACAGTTCTCAGAGCCTTCAAGCATACCATCTATTGCTTTCCCTTGGTCCCCAGTGGGTTTTTTTCTGGTGCTTTGTTTTTAAAACACTTGAAGCCTTGATGTTTCTGCTGCAGTTCTCTTTCTAGGGATACATAGTAATAAGTGGAACAGTTAGGAACTTACTGGGAGGAAAACCTGTAACTCGGGGGGAAATACTTCCCACTGCATCTGAGTAAGTGAGATCCAGGCTCAGAAGGTCCTCATGCTAACTGCCATTGGCCTCAATTCACTCTGCTCGTCTCCCAGCACTGCATTTCCTACCTGCAGTGTCATTCTGTTCTTCACTAGCAGTCCAATCTTGAGGTCCATGAGATTGAGGTCATTTTCAAGCTGTTGATTAGATCGGATCAAGGTCACAGCTTCCTCACACAGTTTCATTAGCTCCAGCTCCTCCTGAAAATCTGGGTCCGATCGAGCAAGTGAACCAATTTCCCAACCACAGCCGTAGGTGGGTTTTCAGCATTAACTAAAAACAAGAGACAAAACAGCAGAGGACAGGAAACAAATTAATGCATGTGTTACCTCTGTGCAGACAGCATGTCAAGCAGCAGCCAGTCCAGGGTCAAATTAACACCAATGGGCTTGAATAACTCCTGACAGCATCCGGAACTTCTGGCATGGAATAAATCACGACAGAAGTCAACGCTATAGGATGAAGTCAGTATCAGCTTAGGGGAGTCCACCTTGCTGAACTTACCCCAAAGATCAGCGCTCCTATTTCCCAGCAGCAAAAGTACTACCGTGAACCAACTTTGCACAGAGTCACAGAATGTCAGGAATTGGAAGGGACCTCCAAAGATCACCTCGTCCAATCCCCCTGCTGGGGCAGGATCACCTAGATTAGGGCACACAGGAACATGTCCAGGTAGCTGCTGAATGTCTCCACAGGAGATCCCACAACCTCTTTGGGCAGCCCATCCCAGTGTTCTGTTACCCTTGCCGTGAAGAAGTTGTTCCTCTTATTTATGTGGGACCCCCTGTGCTCCAGCTTGCACACATTGCCCCTTGTCCTATCACTGGATGTCACTGAGAAGAGCTTGCCTTCATCCTCCTCACGCTCACTATTCACACATTTATAAACATCAACGAGGTCACCCCTCAGTCTCCTCCAAGCTAAAGAGACCCAGCTTTCTCAGCCTTTCCTCACAGGGAGATGCTCCACTCATCAGGGCAGAGGAGAGGGGAAAGAGCACCTCTCCACCTCCTATCCCTACTCTTCCTCATACACCCCACGATGCCCTCTTGGCCACGAGAGCACAGTGCTGGCTCATGCTCCTCCTACCGCCCACCAGGATCCCCTGATCCCTTTCTCCTACGCTGCTCTCCAACAGCTCAGCCCCCAACCTATACTGGTACTCAGGTTGCTCTTGCCCAGATGCAAGACTCCACACCTGCCCTTGTTCTTTCTCATTCCGTTTCTCCCCACCCAACTCTCCAGGTCTCGCTGGAAGGCAGCACAGCCTTTTGCTGTGTCAGCCACTCTGCCCAGTTTTGTGTCATCAGCAAACTTGCTGACAGCACATTCCACTCCCTCAGTCAGAGGGAATTCTTCCTTCAGACACCTACCTACCTACCTATCTACTCTTTGCACCACTTCACCCCAACTGATTTTCATAGCTCTCTTCCTGTTGCAGATCTCACTAACAGTATTTTTCTGCAAATAGAGATTCAAAGCATATTAGCTTTATTCTTTTGGCCACACTTACTGAGGGTTTTGTAGTCTTCTCCTGCTTTGTTTCCTCGGATAAAAGCTTGAGTTTTTATAACGTCATTTATCTAGAAGGAAAAAAAAACCCACTTAAGTGGAAAAGCCACTTAAACTTGTTAAGGGCAGAGTAAAAAAAAAAAAAAGTGTCAGATACTGAATTCATTTCACAATCTCTTACGTTGTCTCTGAAATATTGCAGGTGATCTCTGTAACGCCTTCTGCCTTGATACATCCTGGCCAGTGACTGAATCTACAGGAAAGAATCCCAAAGCAGGTCAGATAAAAGTCTTCTCCACAAATATTGCTACCAAAAATGTTGAAGAAAAAACAAAACAAAACAAAACAAAACCATAGCATTTGCTACCTTCACTTCTTGGTCCTTGTGTGCTCGTCAGTAATCCGAACGGATTTGATATGCCTTCCTCTGTTTATAGCCACGCCACTGGGACTGAAAACACACACAAGAAAAAAGGCGACTTTTCAAAGTGAAGAGCAGTAATTTACTATTCGATGCTTCTTTCTGCTGCTCAGTTTCCACTTCCCTTTGGCTGAATAAAATGTAACACAGACATGCTCATCTTACAAGACATGCCGTAAGAGATATGCAGTGCAATAGCCTTAACTATTTCTTCCACCACCAGCTGTCGTTGTGAGGGACTTAGCAGCACCCCCAACAAGGACAAAACACAGCTAGAGAACAAATGACTAAAACTAAACAACCAAAAGCACCATCCATTGCACAATTCTCAATGCCATCTTCAATTCTCCAAACCCACGGACTAATGGGAAGAGGGAGAGAAGTAATTTATACATAGTGATTCCCAGGGAGAAGATAATGAAGATAATTGTGCATGGCAACTGCTTGACTTGAACAAAACCAGTCAGTAAGCGTGCGTGTGGAGAGCAACTGACAAGTACAAGCTTCAAACAGAATTAGGGGATTTCATACCTGCATGCAAGTGATGGCTGGAACTTGCTTCTTCAAAAACCTCATTCTGGAGTTGAATTCCTGACAGACAAGACAGCCTCGACAACGTGCCTGAAGCTTCACCAGCAGGTTCTCTTTGGCCAGCCACAACTGCTCTCGCTCGTATGCTGCCGTGACTCCAGATACAGTGCTCTAGATTAGTGTTATGGTAGGAAGAAGAGCCAGGAAGAGAAAAGGGAGATGCAAAAATGACATGTTACACAGCGGCTTCTGTATTCTGCTCAAGAGAAACTTACAAGTTGCTTTTCGGTGAGCAGCAACACCACCGTCTTGTTCTGGTGATCAAGGTGTGCACATTCTCCACAATAGGACAAAGAGGTGCTGACGTGCAAAGTAGACAACAAACAGGGAAATAAGATACAAAGCTTGCTAACATCACTACTGAGGTGAAACATTACTTCTGAAAGTTGCAATAAGGCCTGAAATAGGGGCAACTTCAACTTCAGAGGAAAAGAGCACGTACTTTACCTGCATCTCCTCCCGTGACAGCTGTGTGTCATTCTGCACAAATTCTGTCGGCTCATCCCATCCTCCCTCTCTGGTCCTCACGTTATGATAATGATGACAGCCTCCTCTCACCCAGTGTTTCACCCGTTCACTGCCACTGCCTCCTGAAAGCAGAAATGCTGCTATGTTGAAAGCAAACACCTATCTATCTTCCTCACATACAAATGCTACAAGAAGGAAATGCATGGAGAGGGCCCTTCCTCCAAGCAATAGAAGGAACGCCGCAGATTCCAATGAACCACCGCAAGAACTACCTAAGCACAATGTATTCTACAAGTGGGGAATATTTCACTGCTACCTTTTTCATTTCCTTCCTACCTTTTTTTTCTTTCCGTTAACAAAGACTTCAGTTTACAAGGCAGCCTCAATTTCCTATAACATGAGATTCTAACAAGATACCCAGAACGCAAGACTGCTCCTCACATTGCTCCCCCTCTGCTTTCCATTCTACTGGCAATCATCTTGAATTTACTGCACTAGCAGGTAGCTATTGGGGTTCACCTGTGGCCACTTTTCTCCTTTCGACTTCTGCCAACTCTCGCTGGTATGTCTCTGCACACTCTGCAGCGACTCCGTACAGCCCCACATCTGGTGAGCACAAGGCACTCAGGGTAGGGCTGGTATCTCCGTGACCGACTGCTTCATTCACGGCCAGAATGCCTAAGGAAACTTCAACAACAGGAGAGGGCAGGTTACCTGCGCAGTCAGGAGCTCAGTGGCTCACAACAAACTTCAGAGAGCAAGGCACTGTGCCAGTGTACACAAATACCTTCCTGTATTTATGCATAAAAATACTGATTAAAAAAAGACAACTTGGTGTACAACAATCTTTTCAGTACAGTGTGCATCTGTGTATGGCACAGTGTCTGACAGCGCTTTTTTTTGTGCTCTTAGTCCTACCATGGTGCTGATTTATCAACATACTTCTCTACAACCTTTTCTCCATTCACTCAGCTGTACTCTGACAACAGCTGTAGTCCAGGCAGCTTCTTCTTGCAGAGCCCTGCTACAGCAGACAACTGACTCAAAAAGCACCTTTCCAGTGACTGCACCGTTCCTAGCAAGAATAGCAACCTGAACACAGAACAGGTTATCAACAAGAACAAGATGAGGAAAGAGCTAACCCAGGGCTACTCCAGAACTCTGTTGCAAACACAGTACAAAATCAACCACAGGTATCTCACCGAAGCAGTAAACACGAGATACAGTCATTTTCAGCACTGAGCAAATGTCTGTTCACACACACAGAGGTAGAAGGGTATCTGAACAATTATTCAGGCTCAAAGAAACAGACTTTAATCCTGCTTTTGACCAAATGTTCTTGGGCACAGTCCACCTGCCAACTGCACTGATTTGTGTTGTTATCTGCACTTAGTGCAAAAAAAAAAAAAAAAAAAAGAAAGTACTTTGAGAATTACTTCATAGAATTCAGGCAACAGTACAACACAAATGAAAGCTAAGATGCACCACAACTGTGCACATGAACATCCTCTATTGGGTTGACTACCCAACCACAGACAGACACAGTGATCTTGCTAATGTCAAACACTTGGACAGAGATTCAATAGGTATCTCTGCCTAGGATGTAACACAGTCACAAGCACAACTGAAATGACATATCCTTCCAAAAAGATTTAAAGAATTGAAGTTTAAAGGCTGTGACATTCATTGTGGAAAGAAAAAACTTCTACACCTACCTGAAGCAAACACTTGTATTTTAATTTCCTTTGCATGTGTACATTTCTTGCTTGAGCCAAGGCACAGCTGTTTCATCCTGAGTGTCCTAAAGAGAATATGATGAGGAAAGCATTCGCAGCATGAGGAAAAGAGCGTCACTGGTTGTGCAAAACAAAACCACCACCTCTGAGCAATTGCAGTTTCAAGGGATACAGGAAGCACTTCAGTATCTTTCTAATCAATTTCAACACAAGGCCATAATGGACATTTGTTACTAGCAGAAGCAACTACAGCATTACCAGGCCAAAACTCATCTCAGGACAAGGAACTCCCACCAAGAGTTCCAGCAGTGGTGTCACTCCAACAAACATCAAGGCATCCCAACGCCAAGCAATCTGCACTGCTCAGTCCTAAAGCTGTATCTGCCAATAGGACGTGCCTTTCCAAGGAGCCCAAAAAAGAAAATCACGGAACAATTTAAGATGGAAAGGGACCTCTGAGCTCAGCTGGTACAAACCCCTTGCTCCAGCAGGGACACCGAGAGCACATTATCCAGGACAGACCAGATCCAGATGGCTTCTGAACAACTCCAAAGAAAAGACTCCAGTCCCTCTCTGGTCGACCTCCGCTACTGCTCAGTTACCTCCACTGCAAAGTGCTGCCTGACGTTTAGATGGAACCTCTCGAACCCCAGTTTGTACTCAATGCCTCTTGTCCTTAACTGCATCCTCACTTCCAGCTTTCACATACACTGAAGAGATTCCCTCCAAGCCCTCTCATCTCTAGACTAAAGAGTCTCCTCCCCCTCAGCTTTCCTCTCTGGAGAGCTGTTCCAGTCCCTCAGGCACCTCAGTGGCCCTACGCTGGCCTATCTCCAGTACACTCATGCCTGCTGTCTGGGGGGGCAGGGCAGAACTGGACACAGTACACGAGCAGCCTCACCAGTGCCAAGTGCAAGGATCACCTCTCTGCTGAAGCCTTCCAGGCAGCACGAGCACACTGCCCACTCACAGCCACCTGGCTGTCTGCCTACCAGCACTCCTAGCACTTTTCCTGAAAAGCTTTGTTCTGCTGAGGTGGACACAAACAGAGACTAACAGGAGTCCTTTCCCAGTACCAGGCTGCAAGGAGTTGTCCAGGGAAACTTCATGAAGTGGAAATGCACATACAGGAGCAGCAACCAAAAACTGAGGGGGAACTAACACAACAGCAGGCTGCTCTTGTCCCGTCCACAAAGCTTTGCAGATTTCTGTACCAGCAAATCAAAAAGCACTGCATGTACTGGGGGTAAATACAAATGTACAACAGTAAAAGCATCTCTCAAGTCTCTCTATTAACAGACCATTTGCTGTGGAGTACTGATCACACCGTATCTTATGTTTTGGCTGAAGAAACTCATTAAATAATGTTACACGCAGAAACTGTCCAAGAGACAAGTGTTTAGCAAACCCCAAAATACACATAATGAACAATAGTCCAGCAGCTGCCAAGCACAGCTCCTCCACCCCCACTGTTGCTTCCTGGGGGTTACTATGGAAGGAGATCTGAAGAAGCAACGGCCATCCCTCCAACAACCCCTGATGTGCAAACAGGACACAGGAAACATTGACTTCTGACACGGATTAATAATCCCCCTGCACAAAGAGCCACTATATTCCAGCATGAAGAGTTCTGTGGCAGGACTGACAATTGACATTTCCTTACATACCCTCCACATTACCACTGCTTTGGATTGAAACCTACATCCCTTTAACAAGTCTTATCGGAATGTCCAAGGAGTCCCATGACTGCTTCAGCAATGTAGAAATTCCTGTTGGGAAGGGTGGCAGACTTAGAAGAACAAACTCTTGCACTGCCATCTCTACCAGCACAGTCATCAATCCCAGGACTGTCAAAGCCGTCTGATCTTTCCCGTGCATTTACTGTCACAGTCCCCCAGCAGGGACACGCGCTGTCACACACTGCAGGGTTAACACTTCTCTCACTGCTCATCACGTGAGAAATCGCATCATACGCCAGATCCCCTGCCTTGTGCTGAACTGCAATCCCTCTCAGTTCCAAGCTACACAAGTCACCAGCTAGTAAGCACGTTGACTCAGGACAGCAACTGTTCTACCCACAGTGCTGGTCTGTACCACGATCTCACCATCGCTGAAATTGCTGCCACGTTGCAGGGAGGAGCCCCACATTGAACATATGCCTCAGTGAGGTAATTTCACGTCAACTGAAGTCACCAATCCAGCCTGGCAGAAGCTTACGTGCACACCAAGAACAACTCCTTATTTCATTCTCACTCAGTAGGAGGAAATGCTTCAGCACAAAATGGGTTCCTGAGGAACAAGAACCCTTTCAGGGCCTCTGAGGAAGCTGCTCAGTGATCTTCATCACCAGCGCAGTTTTCGGACACTGCCATCGTGAAGGTTTACACTTAGTCAAAAAAAAACAAAGCAAACAAACATACTAAAAAACACCCATGTTGAACACAGTATCATCTCAGTCTCTATGCTAAAATCCCTGCTGGAATTAGAACAATGAGCTCCACAACTGAAAAGATAGTACAAAAAGAAATTAAACACGCGTAGGCAACTGAAAGGAAGCACATCTGCTACTTCTGTGTAAGCATAAGGAAATAAAATAGCATCCCACTCATCTGTTAAAAAAAAAAAATCAGTAGCATGTACACCACAGAATCACAGGGTTGGAAGGGACCTCAAGGATCACGAATCTCCAACCCCCTGCCCGAGGCAGGGCAACCAAACACCACCCATACAGTGTTTCATCTTCCTTCCTAAGCCAGTAAGGTGAGATCATTCTTCCTCTCTCCATTTTCACCTGTACATACAGACCAGTTACACAAAGAGGCAACTCCATCTAAGTCAGGAGAAGTCCTGGGCTACCACAACAGACAACCACCATGCACAAAATGCATAGCATCTGCAGCGTCACCTAGCGAGTGATAGGCATTCATACACATCTTGCTAGAAGCATATATTTTGTTTTCTGTTTTCCCCTCCTTCTGAACAAATTCATCACCTAACAAGTTTTTTTTCCTATTTCTCAAACCTCATTTTTGCTTGATGTAACTACACCTATGGATACATTTAACAAATAGCACTAAAAAATGGAGACTGAACGAGACTTGCATTTGGAAATTCACAGCTATTAGGATAAACACTGCCTTCTTATAAAAACAAATGACACTGAACACATCTCCTCATATCTCCAAAAAGAAGGTACGTCTGCCACTCTGGACGTACAATTAGCTAGAGCAATCCATCTCCAGCAGTTCATATCTTGAAGCCCATCTCTGTAGTTCACCAAGATTCACGTGTTATGCCTGCATCTCTCTTTCCTTCATACAGACAGATCCAAACTGGCCAGGTAACATCAGCTGATAGCATGCAGCGTTCACCCTTTCATTTCCAGA